TTCACTTGTACCATGGATTTAGGTTGCATCCATTCAGTAACCTGCTTAATGGAGGTTATTGTTGTTGTTGTTGTTGTTATGTGCCATCGAGTTGGCCCCAACTCATAGCGACCCCTCCTTGGGTTTCCGAGGCAGTATCACCACGGAAGTAGGATTGCCCAACCTTCCTTCCGAGGAGTGGCTGGTGGGTTTGAACCGCCAGCCTTCTGGTTAGCAGTCAAGTCCTTTTAGCCACTATGCTAAATGGAGGTTATTAGGAACATTAAAATCTAATTTCTACCTTGCCAGTAGCATTTACCCAGGTACAATAAGTTTTGTTTCTTACTGCACATACTCCTCCCATGTTTGCAAGCAAATAATCCGGAGCCAAGGAGGGGTCGCTATGAGTTGGGTCCAACTCGACGGCACATAATAACAACAACAATCCAGAGCCAAGCAGTTATCTAGTACAACCTCAGCCAAAGAATTTAAGGATGCCGTTTCAGCCTTCAGAGCTTTTTTCAGTCCCTACTGCTCATAATTGGGTAAATTTTCACTGCCATCGAGTTGGATCCAACTCATAGCGACCCCTCCTTGGGTTTCTGAGGTAGTATTGTTATGGAAGTAGATTGCCCAATCTTCCTTCTGAGGAGTGGCTGGTGGGTTTGAACTGCCAGCCTTCTGGTTAGTAGTCAAATGTCTTAGGCATTACGCCACCAGAGCTCCTAATAAGTGGATAGTATCAGATAAATTAACATAGTGCCTAAGGCAAGGCTGGCATTTCAAACCCACCAGCCACTCCTCGGAAGGAAGGTTGGGCAATCTACTTCCATAGTGATACTGCCTCGGAAACCCAAGGAGGGGCCGCTATGAGTCGGGTCCAACTCGATGGCACATAACAACAACAACAACAACAATTCAACTCTTGGATGTATAGAGACAGTTATCTCATTTACTGCTCTTAACTCTTGTATGTATCGGTATGAACCATCAGGTTTTAGTACAGGGAGGACTGGGGTGTTACATGGGGACTGGCAGAATTCCATGTGTCTGATTTTCTTCACTCTTCTTTGCTCTGTGTGTTTATGTCCTTTGCCATTTTTGAAGTGGATTGTTTGTCTTTTTGACATAGAGGATATGTCATTGCCAAATATCTTTTCCCCCAATCTGTAGGTTCTCTTTTTAGTCTTTTGGAGAAGTCGTTTGATGTGCATAACAATTTTTAGCAGGTCCCAGTCATCTAATTTATCTTCTGCTGTTTGTGCATTTTTGGTTATGTTTGATAGTCTATTTATGCCATATTTATGTAACCCAATAGTTAGTTGCATCTTACATGGCCACTCACAAGCTTTTATGACCCTAGTCTCTAGTCACTGAAGTAGCCTGTAGAACAATATTTTTGTTTACTGTGTTATGCCAATTGAGCTCAGATATCCCCTGCGATCATGGTCTCAAGCCCACAGGCCCAGCAACTCACTCCTTCAAGGTGTTTGGTTGTGGCTAAGAATTTACCATAACTTTGTCCCCTGTTAACTCTATTATATATATGGAAATTTTTATGGCACATACAAATATGTATGTAGAAATATCATTTGCCCAACCTATTTATATCATCATGAGTATATTCCTGTTCACCTGCCCATACCTGATCATCTTGCCTGTCTACCTAGATTGATATTTGTTATTACTAATATAATGCAGTATTGTAAAAGTATTTACCTTTGTTCTTTGTACCTCTTGTGAAGGTACAAACCTCTCCGTGTCTTCCTTTTCCTTTGTGATACTGTGCTGGTCCCCTGGTTTTGATATATTGCCTTTCCCTTCACCCAAATCAATATGTGTCTTTCACTTGTCTAGCAATTTTCCTTCCCATCCCTGGTAATCAGCAAAGAAAGTTTCTTTCAGTGTGTGAATCTTTCCTTGACTTTTTATAATAGTGATCTCATACAATATTTGTACTTCTGTGATTGACACATAATATCCTACAGGTTCATCCATGTTATGAGGTGTTTCACTGATTCTTCATTAATCTTTAATGTTGCAATGTATTCCATTGTGTGTAGGTACCATAGTTTGATTATCTATTCATTTTTTATGAGAATTTAGGTTGTTGCCATGTCTTTACTATTGTGAATAGTGCTTCAGTGAACATGGTGTGCATGTATCTGTTTGTGTTCAGCTCTTATTTCTTTAGGATATATACCTTTTAGTGGGATTGCTGGATCAAATGGTATTTCTATTTCTAAAATTTTAACGAAGCACCATACTGTTTTCCACTGTAGTTGTGCCATTTTACAGTCCCACCAGCACTGTATGAGAGTTCCAGTCTCTCCACACCCTTGCCAGCATTGTTTTCTGTCTTGTTGAACTTTACTATTATTGCCGGGATGAGATGATATCTTACTGTTGTTTTGACTTGCATCTTTCTAATAGCTAATGATTGGGAGCATTTCCTCATGCGTTTGTTGGCCACCTGTATGTCTCCTCGGAAGGAAGGTTGGGCAATCCTACTTCCGTAGTGATACTGCCTCGGAAACCCAAGGAGGGGTCGCTATGAGCGGGGCCGACTCGATGGCAAACAACAAGAACAACAACAATGTCTTCTCTAGTGAAGTGACTGTTTATGTCCTTTGCCATTTTTTAAGTGGATTGTTTGTCTTTTTGATGTAGAGGATATGTCATTGCCAAATATCCTTTTCCCAATCTGTAGGTTCCCTTTTTATTCTTTTGGAGAAGTCTTTTGATGTGCATAAGAATTAATTTTTAGCAGGTCCCAGTCATCTAGTTTATCTTCTGCTGTTTGTGCATTTTTGGTTATGTTTGATAGCGTATTTATGCTATGTATTAGGGTGCCTAAGTTTGCCCCTATTTTGCCTTTGATGAACTTTATAGTTTTGAAGTTTACATTTAGATCTTTGATCCACCTTGAGTTTGTTTTTGTGTATGGTGTGAGACATGAATCTTGTTTCATTTTTCTGTAAATGGATATCCAGCTTTGTCAGCATCATTTGTTAAAAGAGACTATGTCTTCTTCATTTAATGGGTTTCAACCTTTGTCAAAGATAAGCTGTTCCACTGGTCTATATGTCTGTTGTTGTACCAGTACTAGTCTATTTTGACTACCACGACTGTATAATAGGTTTTGAGATCACGGAAATCTCCTACTTTGTTCTTCCTTTTCTGTAGTGCTTTGCTTATCTGAGGTCTCTTTCCTTTCTATATAAAATTAGTGATTGTTTTTTCCATGTGCTTAAAAAATGTTGGTGGAATCTGGATCAGGATTGTATTGAATACATAGATTGCTTTGGGTAGTAGTGACATTCTCACAATATTCAGTTTTCTTATCCATTAGCATGGTATGTTCTTCCATTTATGTAGGTCTCTTAAAGTTTCTTGTAGTAGTGCTTTGTAGGTTTTTTTGTAGAGGTCTTTTGTGTCCCTGGTAAGATTTATTCGTAAGTATTTTATCTTTTTGGTAGCTATTGTAAATGATATCATTTTCCTTATTTCCTTTTCAGAGAGTGTAGTGAGAGTTTAAGTGAGTGGGGTGCATAACAAAGATTTCATTTCAGTGACTTTTGGCTTTCATTGTTTCTGATGAGAAGTTAGCTGTTATTCTTGTTGTAGTCCAGACACATAGTAAGCACTCAATAAAAATATATTGAATTAATAAATTAAAAATAGAACCAGTATCTTTCTTTTTTAATTTTATTGTGCTTTGGGTGCAAATTTACTGAGCAAATTTGTTTACATTCAACAATTCATGTACATTTCATTTCACACCTCGGTTATCATCCCCAACCATAACAAACTCTTCTTCCCTCCTGTTCCTGTAACTAACCCCTCCCTGTGCCTTTCTTAACTATGCACTCCTGTTTGTCCAGCTTTCCCGCTATGTGAATCCTGCCCCTCTAGTGCCTCATGGCTGATTGCTCTAAGGGATGCATCTCCCTAGAGTAGTTGAGTATGCTGGGGTAGGTGTTCTGTCCATAGGTCTTTCTACTGTTGGGCTGAGAGCCAATCCATTGAAATGGGCATGAAGGTTAACCTGGGGCCATATATATTCTAACATCCTTTCAAAAATACCCCACCACTTCTATGTAAAACCTTTCTTTGTACATTTAATGCTCCCACTGCAGACTCTGCAGAAAAGTGATTCAAATGAACTATCAACTCAGGAAGTTTCTGCAAACATGAATGTTAAAGTAATCACTCAGTGACTTTCTGTGTGTCTAAGCATCCTAAATAACCCTGAAATATCTGATTGATTGAACTGCAACTATCGTTATCATTTTACACATTTTCTTTGTCATTCAATAAATATGCATCATTCTGCAAATTATTGAATACCTACTATGTGCCAGGAGCTCTGGTAGCACAATGTCTAAGGATCTGACTGCTAACCAGAAGGTTGGTGGTTCAAATATACCAGCCACTCAATGAAGGCAAGACTGAACAATCTACTTCCATAAAGATTTACCACCTTGGAAACCCAATGGGGGCTATGAGTCAGAATCAACTTGATGGCAGTAGGTTTGTTTTTTTTTGTTTTTGTTTTTACTATGTATGTACAGTATCTAAGGGATTAATACTTGTCTTAAATTACCCAACTATTCTAATCTAATTGCTGTTCAAGATTTCAGGGAAACTTTGAGTAGAAGGGAAGACTTGGGACTTTTCATGATTCTCAGGGTGCAGCTTGTTTTTCTTCTTGTAGGATTATTTACTTTATCATGTATTATTATGAAGGGTCTCATTCTTTATGTAACATCTGTCATGACAAAGACAAAACTCAGTGTAAACCAAGAATTTTGATGTGAACCAGCTTAGATATATTGCCATATTCATATATTAATTTCTTGAAATACCTTCCTATGCTTTTCACCATGACTCTGCATAAACATTGTTAGATTTCAGGGTAATGTCTTGGTTAAATAACTCCATATATTCAACAGTTTGGGGGTTCAGACTCATCTACATTTCTTTATGTCCCCCTTTCTCTCTGTATTTTTCTTTTTCAGTTGAGTTATGCCTTGAACCACACAAATAGAAAACTAACGTTGGAACCTAAAATAACTGTCAATGCCAAGATTGTTGTGGTTGGAGCATCCAATGTTGGAATTTCCTTCTTAGAGACACTGGTATTTTGGTGAGTTGCTTTTACTTTACATTAGAAGGAGATAGGGACCCATCTCTTCCTACACAAGAGGAGGATCCCTTAAGAGACCAGACCTGTGTTTGTTTACCACCCCCACACACCTATGTGGGTTAATGAATTAATGGACTATTCTAGATCAGAGATTGGCACACTACATACCCCAAGCTAAATCTAGCTTGTCACCTGTTTTATAAATAAAGTTTTATTTACTGCCATACTCACTTATTTATGATTTACCTATGGCCATTTTCATGCTATAATGGCAGAGATCATAAAGCCTAAAAAGCCTAAGATATGTACTATCTGTCCCTTTCTGGAAAAAGTTTGCCAACTTATTTTTTATACTAGTCAGATTATAAGAATCAGAATTATAAGAGCATTTGTTAAAGATATTTTCTCCCAGGCCCCATCCTATACAAAGATAATCAGAAAATCCAGAGGGCCTGAGAATCAGTATTTTAGCAGGTATGCCATGTGATCGGGCAGGTTTGGAATTAGTAATGACTTTATGCAAATAGACTTTTAAAATGGCATATACACCAGGACATTTTTCCAACTACCCCCTCTCCCCTACATTTTGGTTACCAGTGATCAGGGCAAACTATGCAGGGGAGACTGAGGCCTGTGCCTCCCTTTGGATGCTATTTCTCATTACCCTTAAATAACTAAATCAGATGCCTTTCTGAGCCAACTTGCTGGATAAGTGATTTCCAAGGATTCCCAACATCCCCACACTCTCGCTCCATCTGCTCTTTGAATTCTGGCACCACTTTGACAGAGAAAGCCCTGGGTTAGAGTCCAAGAACTTGAGTCCCTGGCCTGGCATCACCACTGGCCTGACCTGGAACCCTGGACACGTTGCATAACTTCTCTCAGACTCATTTTTCTCTCTCTTTTTAAATAATTATTTTTAAGTAACATTTTGTTCTGGTTACCTAGTACCACTCTCACAAGAAATATACCACAAATGGGATGGCCTTAACAAACAGGAGTTTATTATAATTTGGAGGCTTTAAGTCCAAGTTCAAAGTGCCAGGCTCTAGGGGCTGGGTGAAAGCCCCTCAACCTTGGGGTCCAGCTCTGCCTCCTGCTTCTGGCCCACTGGAGCTAGAGGCATTTCTTCACTCAGATAGCTGCTGGCTGCTGAGGCTGAGAAGCCCCAATGTTGACAAGTAAAAAGGCATAGTCCCGATGTTACCAAACCACATGGCAGGCCATTATTTTAAGTCCATTGTAAGTCCCAATGTTGGCAGAGCATGGCAGGCTACTGAGCAAGGACATGGCTACACGCAGGGTCCAAGCGTGCCATAGGCTAGAGACCATTCTCAAACCTTCTCCTTATATACAAGAAGCAGACCACATCCTAAAGGCAGCTACTCAGCTGCTCACAATAGATTCCACCATGGAGTTGATTACCAGTCTCATCATGGGGAAAACTACATCCAGCTGCCCAGCCACTCAACCAGGCCTAGCCAAGTTGACACACAAACATAACTACCACATATTTTATTGTGTTTTTGGTGAAGGTTAATATGGCAATTTAGGTTCCCATTCAACAATTTCTACACAAATTGTTTAGTGATATTGGTTACATTTTTCATAATGCGTGAATGTTCTCATTATTTCCATTCTGACTATTCTGTTTTTTATTAACCTAGTTTCCTGCCTCTTGTCATTCTCATCTTTGTTTTAAAGTAGTTATTGACCATTTGGTTTCATATAGGTGATTTTTTAAAGAAGCACAGTACTTACAGATGACATTCATTATTTTATGAGTCAATCTGTTATTTAGCTACCAGATGACCTCAGGGGTTAGTTTCAGTCAAGGTCTGAAGAATATGTCAGGGCAATAGTCTTGAGGAGTTCTCCAGTCTCAACCAGTCCAGTAGGTCTTTTTTTTTTAATAGTAATTTGAGATTCTACTCCACATTTTTTTCCTTTTCTATCTATTGTGGCCCTGATTAGAATAGTAGGTAATGATAGACAGGGACCATCTAGTTCTTCTGGTCTCAAGGCAGATGAGGCTATGGTTTGTGTAGACTATTTGTCCTGTACACTAGTTTCTTCTTTGAGTCTTTGATTTCCTTCTTTCTGTTTTGCTCCAGATGCATAGAGATTAGAGACCAATAGTTATATTTAGATGACTGTTCACAAGCTTTTAAGATCCCAGACACTCCTTATCAAACTAGGATGTAGAACTATATTATGCCAGTTGACTGAGATTTTCTATGAGATTGTGGTCCTTCAAATCTAGAAAACCAGTCCCATGGGGTGTTTGGTTACATCTAAGAAGTATCTGTAACTGTGTCTGTCCCTTATGTGTTTATTATATATATGTGAATATATGTGCATACAGTTTCATAGATGCATATACAAATGCATGACTGGCCCTGCCATTGAGTTGGTTCCGACTCATAGCGACCCCTCTTGGGTTTCTGAGACAGAATCTCTATGGAAGTAGATTGCCCAGTCTTCCTTCTGAGAAGTGGCTGGTGGGTTTGTACTGCCAGCCTTCTGGTTAGCAGTCAAATGCCTTAGACACTATGTCACCAGAACTCCCTATACATTATGCATAGACCTGTATATACCCTCTGCCATTGAGTCAACTCCAGCTCATAGCGACCCCCATTGGGTTTCTCAGGTTATAAATCTTTACAGAAGTAGCTTGCCTCATCTTCCTCTCACAAAGCAGCTGGTGGGTTTGAGCCACTGACCTTCTGGGTAGCAGCCAAATGCCTTACTCACTATACACTGGAGCTCCTTACTCTCATATATACATACAATCAATGCCCATGGAAGTAATAGTCAAGAAATTAAATGACAGATTGGGCAAATCTGCACAAAACACCTCTGTAAAGTGTTAAAAATCAAAGATGTCACTCTAAAGAGTGAGGTGTGCCTGAACCAAGACATGGTATTTTCAGTCATCTTATATTCATGCAAAAGCTGGACAATGAATAAAGAAGACTGAAGAAGAATGGATGCCTTTGAATTATGGTGTTGATGAAGAACATATCATAGACTGCCAGAAGAAGGAATAAATCTGTCTTAGAAGAAGTACAGCTATAAATGCTCCTTAGAAGTAAGGATGGCAAGACTTCATCTCATGAACTTTAGTCGGGGAGGGACCGTGCCTGGAGAAAGATATCATACTTGGTAAAGTAGAGGGTCAGTGAAAAAGAGAAAGACTCCCAATGAGAAGGATTGACTCAGTGGCTGCAACAGTGGACTCAGGCATAGCAACTGGATTGTGAGGATGGCACAGGACCAGATAATGTTTTGTTCCATTATACATAGGGTCTCTATGAATTGAAACTAATTCAATAACACATAGCACATAACATAACATATATACACACACATATACTCACATATATGCACCTATTTGCATATATATCTACATACATACATATAAACCCACACATATATTTTTTGGTTGTTTTGCTGTTCTTTCAAATTTTTATATGCCATAGCAATTACCAACAGATCTTTATTTCTTCTGTACATTGTAGTGACATTGTTTATCTTCATTCATTTTTTTTTTTTTAAGTGCATATATATTTTAAAGGGAGCTCTGGTAGCATAGTGCCTAAGGCACTTGACTGCTTATCAGAAGGCTGGTGGTTCAAACCCACCAGCCACTCCTCAGAAGGAAGATGGGGCAATCTACCGTAGTGATACTGCCTCGGAAACCCAAGGAGGGGTCGCTATGAGTCGGGTTTGACTCGATGGCACATAACAACAACAACAAGTGCCTAAGAAGGGAGATCTGGTAGCATAGTGCCTAAGGCACTTGACTGCTTATCAGAAGGCTGGTGGTTCAAACCCACCAGCCACTCCTCGGAAGGAAGGTTGGGCAATCCTACTTCCGTAGTAATACTGCCTCGGAAACCCAAGGAGGGGTCGCTATGAGTCGGGTTTGACTCGACGGCACATAACAACAACAACAAGTGCCTAAGAAGGGAGATCTGGTAGCATAGTGGCTAAGGCACTTGACTGCTAACCAGAAGGCTGAAGGTTCAAACCCACCAGCCACTCCTCAGAAGGAAAATGGGGCAATCTATTCCTGTAGTGATAATGCCTCAGAAACCCAAGGAGGGGTCGCTATGAGTCGGGTCCGACTCCACGGCACATAACAACAACAACAGTGTCTAAGGCATTTGACTGCTAACCAGAAGGTTGGTGGTGCAAACCCATGAGCTGCTCCATGGAAGTAAGATGCAGCAATCTATTTCTGTAAAGATTAACCTCTTTGGAAACCCAATGTTAGGAGTCAGAATCGATTCAATAGCAGTGAGCTTGGGTTTTGGGGTTTTTTTTAGTGCCTTTTAGGGACCGTTGTTGTCAGGTGCTATCAAGTCTATCCTAACTCATACTAATCCCACATGACAGGATATAACTACCTTGTATGGTTTTCTTGCCTGTAATCTTTATGGAAGCACATCACCATGTTTTTCTCTCACTGACTCATTGAGTGGGTTCAAATCACCAACCTTTTGGTTAGACTCTTGCATGAGAAGAATCTCATTTTTCCAATATTTTGCTCAGGATCACATAAGAAACTTTAGCCACCTTTTGGAATTATAGGAGTTAAGAAGTAAGTTGTTGTTATGTGCTGTCAAGTCAGACCTGACTCATAGCGACCCCTCCTTGGGTTTCCGAGGCAGTATCACTACGGAAGTAGATTGCCCCATTTTCCTTCTGAGGAGTGGCTGGTGGGTTTGAACCACCAGCCTTCTGGTTAACAGTCAACTGCCTTAGACATTATGCTACCAAAGCTCCTAAGAAGTAAGTAGGATATGAAAAAAACCTCACATAACTCACTGGAAGCCAACAATATTCCAGCTTAAGGAAAATGAAATGGGGCTCTTTGAGGGATGCGACAAAGAAAAGGGATGGAAGAAATAACTCCAGAAGATATTTGTGCCTGGTTAACGTATGGAAAAAGTTAACCCAAAATGATCGTGTTACTCATTTGACATAGCATTTAG